AATTAATCTTTTTATTACTTGACAACTTCTCATTACAAAGCAAAAATACAGACAATCCTTCCGCATTGATAATGAAAGCAAATTATTTGGTCCGTTCTTCTTTAAATCCTCTGTTCTCATCAGCTAGCATCCTTTTTTCCCTTTGGGATCCTTGGCCCATGACACACCGACCACTATGTTTGCTTCACACAGCGCTGCGCTGAAAGGTGTGTTGCAGACAATGACCACTGATCTCTACGGCTATGATACAAATTTTCGTTCAAAGAAATGTTTATATTTATAATACAGATTTTTACAGCATTGGAAAACCAAATTAATGTTTGTTTAACCTCCTGCCCACCATTTTAAAATGAACAAACAAAAATAGACAATTTTCATAAATTTTGGAAAAAGCTCCAGGGAGCCGCAAGGGGGGCGCTGAAGAGCCGCATGCGGGTCTGGAGCCGCAGGTTGCCGACTCCTGCTCTATAGGCTCTATGAACAAAGCAAACAGCAAGGGACTCAGCAGACAGCAATGTCTTATAGACCTTTCTAACAGAAAAGAGTCTGTCAATTCACCATTAATATTTAGTCTGGCTGATGGTTTATTGTAAAACGAATTATTTTAATCCCATCCTGGCTAAAACCAAATGTGTGCACTTAAATAAAAGCATTCATGTTACTGATTCAAATCTATGATCAGCAAAGCCTGCATTTTGGTTTATATTTCTAATGATATGTAAAGGTCTCTTTATATTGTCATGTGTCTGACGAGACTGTATAAAGTCTATTCAATCCATATTACTAATTGGTGCTAAAGTTTTTCTAGTCTCCAATGATTATTGAGGTAAATTGTTTGTAATCTAGGTTCAAGATATTAATAACCACACCATATCAATGCTGGTGTGGTTTCCCTCTTTGATAAGACCCAATTAAATTTTCACATTAATAAGGGTGATAACTCCTCTTTTAAATTTTTATACCTTCTTGCTGTAAAACCGCCCTTATCAGGAGATTTATTTGCTTTGAGTCAGACTATATAGTAGCATATATATATATATCCTCCTATGTTATGTCCGACGTTATTAATCTATTTGATCTTCTGTCATCTTTGGTAGGGATAATGACTTTAGCATCAATTCCATATCCTGGTCAAAGTCTATTAGAGGTTGGAAATGTGCAGTTTTTTCAATACTTTACAAAACATTCTTTAATTTCCTTAATCCTGTATGTTGGTTCTTCTGTCATTACAATTTTTATTGTGATTATTGTAGAATTAGTATGTTTTCTGCACAGTCTATAAGCTGATAATTTAGAATATTTACTACTCCCTTGGTATTATTACCTAAATTTTTCAAAGTTTCAAGTGACTTTCTTTTTTTTTATTTACCCCCAGGATTTCTGATTTGGTGACAGACAGCTCAATTAATGATAATTTATGTAATTAATGAACCACAGATTTTGATATAAACAGACTGATACATTTTTCAGAAAAATTGGCTTATAGTCAACAGAAAAATCCCCTATAGTATTTATTGGCATAAAATAGCACTAAAAATTTGATTTACTACGTATTAGTTTCTACTTCCTTCTAGTAGACACTGACACGGTGAAAAGGTTTCATGCAATTTCCCATTTTTAGAATTCTCTGAAGGAAGTAAAAATCAATTTGTTGCAAACAGATTGGTGAGTTAAAAAAAATCTCTTCATTTCTGCACAAATTGATCCAACAATCCTAATTTTCGCAGGTCCCTCAAAACATTAGGCACCTGGAGAGAAGAGTTTTGAATGGCTACTCAAAGTTGACCACTTACTTAGCCCAGAAAACTCAATTTATTGACCGCATATGTCCCACTTATAGTTATTTCTAATACGGTTAAGCTTGCCAATTTGATCAACCACCTTTCAACCACATAAAGTCCTGATAGAGATGTAAAAAAATCCCCTTAGAAACACCATTAATGCTTATATGTTTTAATTTCTGAGCATCTCCAATTTAAGTACAAATCAGCACCTTCTCTTTTCAAATATTATCCGTAGACCAATTGTCTCAAAAAAATGTTGATTAGCAATGGTTACCTCCAAACAGAAGCAAAAGTTATCAAAAGCAGTTTTTTAAGAATATTAAAAAGCTGAGAGATTCAGTTTATAAGAAGTTTTCAGGATGTCCTGTAAACTCAGGCAGATAGAACTGCAGAATCCTGGTGCCTCCAGGGCAGAGCTTAAACAACACTGGCAGCAAGAGGAAGTGAGTGCATCTAAAGGAAGAGGAAGAAATGTTTGTGTATTTATTTCTTGCTTCGACTGAATAACCTCAAGAAAAACTCAATAGCTACCCAAAGCAGATCATTTGTTCTTAACACTGCTTAAGGATAAAATATATATACAGAAAATAACACCTTACACAAAAGGTGGCAATAAAAGACACAAAGGAACTTTTCTTTTTTAAGAAGCCCCTCTAATAATACCTCTATATAATGAAGATAATATTTCCTCTTGAAATGTAATTTTTTTTTTCCTTAGCAAAGTAATAAAACCCAAAAAAAAGCTATGAAGTATAACATTTCTGTCACTGTTAAAACTTATGATAAAAACACTGAAATGCTTTTCTCTCACTTTAAAAACATGAACAAGCTGTTCAGCACAGATACAAAAACAAACAGGCGCTTTCCATTGTTGTTGAAAAGGGCAAGGTGTGATTTCTGTTTACTCCATTGAAAAAGCAACAAAAAACAGAGCTTAACCTTTAAATAATCTTGTACTCAGATAGGAAACGAAGTGTAGCTTTGTAACTATTCTCAGGCTCATTACTCAGATTGGTCCATCATGTTTGGATTAATACAACAGGGCAGAAGCTTGAATTAAATAGAGGTTAATTCTATCTAAGACTGATTATGAAGTTAAACTTTGGCTTATTTTTACCTACACCATTGCTTTTTAGCCATTTGCATTCATATCTTTAAACCTATTTATAAAAATAAAACCTCGGGTGGGTTCAGTCTCCAGGGTGTCTTTTTATAGTCAGTAGCAACGGTCTTCTGCAGCTTAAGAAAGAATGCTATTCTCTTCAGAAGTAGGCAAATTAGAAAATGTGAGCTCCAAGTTTGCATCTGTGAAGGCCTCAGAGCTTTGTAGAGCACATTAGTGCTCACACACAGTAATTAAGACATATAAACTAGTGAGGTGAAAAGGAAGGTGGGTAATAAAACTACATCCTAAGTAGGGCTGCAACTACTGATTATTTTGCAAATAGATTAATATTTTAATTAATTATTAGATTAACTGATTAGTAATCGGATAGTCAAAGGCCCCTTAAAGAAGATTTTCTTTACTAAATGAAACCTGGTGAAACTAAAACTCTTGTGGCACAGTTGGTAGCACTGTCGCCTCCCTGAGCATGCATGGGTTCTCTCCAGGTACTCCAGCTTCCTCCTACAGTCCAAAACATGTCTGTTTGTTCAGTTTGTCTCTGTGTTGCCCTGCAATGGACTGGTGACCTGTCCAGGGTGGACCCCGCCTCTCGCCTATAGACAGCTGGAGACCCCTCGTGGCCCTGCTTGGGATAAACGTGATGGAATTGGATGGGAGAAACTTCTGGATAAAGCATATTAACAAACTAATTTTCTTTTAAATCTTCAATGCAAAATGTTTAGATATTTGTTTACAATTTTGAAATGATTACTGCTCTATGTGGGTTGTTCTTTCAGCTAAAGGCATATTTTACAGTCTCTATACTCTATTTAACAATTAGTTGATTACTAAATTAGTTGGTGATTATTACAATAATCGATTAATCAAGATTTATCTGATTAATTCTTTCTGCCCTGATCCTAAGCTTTGAAAAATCAAACCTACCAATACCTGTGCACCAAAACCAACGGACTGGAAAAGGAGAGCATTAAGCAGCAGCAAAGATGTTCATGGTAACTCTGGAGGAGCTGCAGAGATGCACGATAAGGTGACAGGACAACTACTAGCAGAAAGGAAATACAATGTTTGAAATTAGAAAATAACCCATGCAGCAAACAGTGAATGTGTGGAAAAAGGTGCTCTGCTCAGAATTTTTTTGTTTGTTTGTTTGTTTTTTGGGGCTTGATGTAAAATCTCTTAGAAGAAAGGTCAGCTGTGCACATCCCTACTACTGAGATGAATACATACAGAGAACAAAAAGTGTCAACATTGCAAAATACTTTAGAAAAAGGTAGAGAACTACCCTTTTCAACAGAACATACAGCAATTAGATCAAAGCATTCTAGATTGGTACTAGACCTACATATGATTGTCTCACCAGGTTAAGAATCTGATTTATTTTGCAATATTTTCAACCTTTGGAGGAAATAAAACACAATCAGTTCTAATTCTTGCAAAATGTGTTCCTACAAAGTATTGAACATTTATGTATAATCTATCTTCCATTTTGAATTGACCAGCAAAAAAATAATTTCCAATTTAACTACATCAAACTTTGCCATATGCATCAGAATGTTACAACCAGTCAAACTTCGTGAAGGCAAAATGGAAAATACAACTCTGCAGAATGCCCTGAAAAATCTGAGCCCATTTGAAAGGATTTCTCAAACAGTCGATGGCAGATTGATTTCTCTCTGGATGTTTGTCCAAACAGAATCTGTTGAATTATGAAAGTCTAATCAACGCAGTCTGTTATAACTTGTCATGTTCGAGGCGTTTTCGGTGCTTTGGGGTGAATCCGGGCTCCTGCTGACCGCTGTCCTTTCAGCACCAAGCTCCAGTTGAAGGTTGTCAGGCAGCCTGCAGCCAAAAGGCATCGCTCAGCCTGGTGCTGATGTTGCAAACAACGGCTCGGCTTTCTGAACTCCCCCACCCCCCCCACCACCACCAAATCAATGCAAACACATCCTACTGTAGTACTAATACTACAGGCGTAGATCTGTGAAAAGCATCCTGCTCTGGCCTTTTTTCTGCTCACTAAAACATGGCCATCCAACGCGCAGGTATCAGGAATTACATCGCATTGTTTGGGTAGAAAACAGATAACTTACGCGCTCCAACTGATCGATCCGTGGATGGCATCCCCCTTCCCCCCCACTGGTGGAGGATTAGCTCCTCCTAAATCAAATAGGCGTCCTCTGTAATTGTTATTATTTTCTTTAATTTGATGCAACGGTGAGTCCAGGTGGGAGAGCGCTCCGCTCCTCTTGTGGCGCCGCTCAGCACGCATCCAGGAGCGGCTGCCGTGCAGGACTGAGGAGCTCCACTTATGTGGGATGATGATGATGTCGCGGGAATAGGAGCGTTAGTTTCCTCCTAACGAGAACATGCACCGCCTGAGTCACCCCGCATTTTCCAGGCAGAGTCCATCTATCAGCACACTGGAGTAGAAGGTTATTTACCTAACATTTAAACCCTTTTGGAATGAGGATTATTGCTATTCTTTATTCTCTAAAGAAAAAAGGAGGAAATAAAACTGGAAAAGCATGCATCTATTTATAGCCCAGGCTTTTCCAACAGCTTTCATTTAAAGCCACATGCCTCTTGCAAATGCTACATCCTCCATACATAAGCTTTGTTTGTTTTCACACCTTCTGTTTGCAGGACTGTGAGAAAAAAAAGGGGGGAAAAAAAAGGCTTGAGTTGTTGGCACTGGATCCAATGCAAGGATGGTGCCAGGATCTGCAAACGCCTTTTACAGCCATGAGCATAATGTGGGTCATTGCCCCACTTATGTGAAGCACATCATGTTATCTTACTGTGTCGCCTTATATGGCTTCAGTTTTAATTTTTAATAAATGTTTGTGAAAAATGATTAATCAAAACCCAAACATCAACATTTAAAAGAACTTCTGTTTGCAAGAATTTAATTTTGAATGAATAATGGACATAAAAACAATAGTCAATTTACTTTCATTTATGGTTGAAGTGTCTTGCGTTGGCACTGGGTATACAATAAAAAAGCATTTTAAAGAGTTCAAAATTGTAGCATTGATATTTAACCTCTGTTCACTTTGATATCAATGAATACAAACCAAACATTACAAATATATTGACCAAACTGGACCCTGATTTCAAAGAACCCTGATGTGGGTACACCTAATTTCAAATTTGAATATCAGAATAGATCACTGTGCCTATAGTGCTTGCACAAGCAACCTATTCCTTTAGACCTATCCCCTTTTTTGTACATTTAAAATAAAAACAAAAATTGATTTTATTGGGACTTTGTGAGCTAAACCAATGCCAAGTTCTGAAAAGAAGGCCTGAAAAAAAGGCTTGGTTCTACAACTTTTTGTGCTGATGCACGTAAATACAATAAAGTGCAACCAAAAATTTCCAGAAGCTAGCTAACTAATATAAAAGTTGATTAAGCCAGATTTGTCCTTCCAATAGAGACAGCTTGTTGGTTATTTAGCCTACACTGGATGAGCCGCGGTGCAACAGTTATAAGCTGCTGTTATTCTTCTTGCTGGTGACCATAGGGTTCTTTCAGTACTTTTTTTTTCTGAGAAATGTAATTGCCTAATATAGGTGATTTGACAAGGGTGACGGAGGTTGATATAGATGTAGTAGATCTCACACACTTGACAGGGAGGAACCAGATCCTACAAACTTGACGGGAGATAAATCTTACACACTGTCCCTTTAAAGAAAGGAAGATATGTTTTTGAAGGGATCCTGTGCTGTGGGTAGCAGGTTTGGAAACAACAAAATGTATTCAGATAATGTAATTCACACAATAAATGTATTTATTTGAGAGCCCTAACCATAAGTGACTCTGACCTAAACGTTGGGATTTTCTGTCAGCAAAATCCCCTTCAAAAGTCAATCGCTTTCTAAGTTTCTTTGTGGTTGTTACAGCTGGTGATAATTTGTGTGCAAATGTAAGTGTGCAGGTGCCAGTTGCTGATTGGTTCCAGGATGATGACATCATGACATCCCATTGGTGGCTTCCTGGAAGTGACAACTATAAAAAGGCTGCTGATGTGGACTTCCTGGTTCCGTCCTCCACTCTTCCCAACTGGCCACACTGTTACCACCTGAACATTCTGGAGCTTGTAAGAGTGAGCTGCCATTTCTGTTGCTTAAGTTTTCTCCTGTTTTTCTTAGTTAGGGAGGTAAGGTGACTGTCATTTGTTTACTTATACTGCAGTAGGTAAGTTGGTTCATTTCTTTGTTTTAGACAGTTGCCTTTTGTTTGTTATTTTTGGCATATAGCTCTCTCTGAAGTCATTTGCTCCACTTATGTTGTAACTTTAGAATTATTTTCCTTTTTGTAAATAAATCACTTTCTAAAGATGTGCAACTTTGTATGTGTGAGCTACTTGGGATGGGAAGAGGATGGATCCACTCTTTAATATGTTATGGTCTGGCAACCCTAGACGGGTCGTAACAGTGGTGCGTAAATTAATTTATGCTAAGGTCAATATTGTGGAATCCCTCTTTTTTGTAGTTCATTCTTCTCTGCTCAGAAAAGGTTATGAAGATGTGCATCTATCCTTTTAATGTCAAATATACCGCTGATGGTGCAGTAAATCATCTCTTTGCTAATATTTTCAGCATCTAACTTACTACTAGCAGGGCGGAGTGGAAGCCTAGTGGTTAGGGCATAGAGTATGGACTTCTGAGGTTGTGAGTTCGAAATCCACTGCCGTTCTGGCTCTCTGAGCAAGACCCTTATTGCTCCCCAGGTGCCCCACAATGGCAGCCCACTGCTCCCCAAGGGATTGGTTAAATGCAGAGGTCAATTTCTCAGATAATCTGTGTGGCGGTAAAGAACTGGCTTTGTTTTGAGCTGTGCTGAATTCTGGGACCCAGCAGAATTTCATCCGCTAGATGGCCTCCCGAGAAAGGCAGTAAAGTCAGTATTTGATTTTTTTTCTCAGTTCATGCATGAACTCAGAAAAATTTAAATATTGATTCTCCAACATTACTCTATTAAAGGCATTTCTGTCACAGTTAGAACAACTGTCTCTAAAAAGATATACAAGTTTTTCTTATATGTTTAAGTTCACCAAAACCAAGCAGAGGAACAGTCTGGATGTATAGAACAGCCTGATATGAGCTGTTTTTCACTCTGAGCTAATGGAGTTCATCAAAACAAGCTGGGGTGTCTTGAAAGCTAATTCTGTCTGACTATAATTTTTGTTCTATATCTTGTTATAAGATTCATTAAGTTTAAATGCGATTATAAGGAAGTTACTCAGTGGAGCTCCAGTTTTATGAATGTAGGTTTAAAATTTGATTTTATTTTGTATTATTTTTAAATTCTTACTAACTTCCAGGCAACGTGTTTATGTGTTTTTTTTATTTGAGGTGGGAAGAATAAAATGCCTAAGAATGCTTAAATTAAAATATTAAGTAAAATAGATTTGTATTTTATAATCAGTTATCGTATGTTCCAGTTTTGGACAATCATTAATACTTTTGACTGAGAAGGGGACTCATGGTAACCAAAAATACCCAAAGGGGTACACAGGTCAAAAAAGTTTGGGAAACACTGGCATAGGCTACCAATCACTGAAGCAGAGATATAGCATCCTGGTTTGTGTAAGCCTGACTGTTATCTTAGTCGGGAACAGGCTAGCAGCACACAGTAAATTACCTTTATAACTTCTGTATTACTGCTTTCGTGAAACCAAGTAGCGTCTTAATTTGCCCCAGAAGTTCTGATTTAATCCTTTAATTCGGTTTCATGAAAAAGGGATCTGTTTCCCACGTCTAAGAACGGATAGCACCAGGTAGGAAGAGACATATGCAACCCACAAAAATTCTAAATAAAAGCTTCCAAAAAGAAAATAAAAACAAATTAACTGAAACCATAACAACACTTTAAATCAAAATGATATTGTAGTGAAATACAGATTACTATAATTAACTACACTAGCTACACATGCAAATTCTATGTGTGTTGAAACATTAGTTCAGGATGTCAGTCTGAACAAAACATCCCCACCATGATGCATATGGTGGCAGCATCATGCTATGGAGAGACTTTCCTCCTGGAGGAATGAGAAGAGTTTTTTTCTTTGGTTTTGCCCTCTGAGGACCAAAAGGGAGTAATACAAAGTGAAGTCATTCACAAGCAGGCAAAATGAAGTACTTGAGTCTTTATTAAAGGAGTAATGAGGAATTATAAATTAACCAGGAGCACCTTGGGCGGCATCACAGGAGGAAGATAAACAGGAGGATCTGACTAGAACTGACTAAACAGACAGGCTTAAATGCTAATTAGGTTGATCAAGAGAAGACAGCTGAGCTTAGTTGCTGGAGCTGAGAGAGAACAGGCAGTCAAAGCACCGAGGGCCCAAAGAGATGAAATTGGGGAGATTAAACTGTTTATTATATCAAATCATTCTTATTTGTGTGAACTTGTTGTAGTTAAGCCCCTGACTGGTGCATAAATTATTGCACTTCTTTCATTATTCTCTTTTAGTTTGCTTTTTTATGATGTTTTTCTCTTATTCCTTTCATATTTCCTTCAAATTAAAATACATTTCCTACAATAATTACTTGACCCGTACACTAGATGGTAGTGTTGTGCAGCACAACTATTGTGTTTTCTTACATGTCTATCACTTTTCTGACTTTACAAGATTTTAATCCCTGCTGAGTGTGATTCATTCAATACAATTCTTTCTTCTTTCAAGTGTCATCTCTTAAAAATGTTTAAAAGAGGGAAATGTCTATTCTCTATCCGCACTCCTTTTTCTCACAGTTTAATCAATGAATGAATCGATAAGAAAATGTATTTCAGATAATCTATTAAAATTAGGTTATATATAATTAATGATATATGTAATTGCATTTTATGTACAATTTACGAATTATTTCTAAATGGGATATCAAGAAGTGAAACTTATTTAGATATATCTTCTCTTCCTACATTACTTAACAAGAATCACATTAAATACTGCAGAATGAGAGTCTGTGGTCATGTCATCAATTAGCATACTGAAACTGAAGCATATGAAGTGGGTCACCAGTGTCCTAACTTGAGATCACGTGAGCAGGTTCAGCAGGTGAATTAGTTAGGGGGGGTTGGGGGTCTCTGGTTGGGTTGCCTGTGCACGGCATGTGGACCCCGATCCCGGGGGGACTTTTGCTGGGGGTGGTCTGGTCCAGGTGCTGGGTGGGGGGGCCGGGCCCGAAGCAGGAGCGAGAATTGTTGGTGCGGCGGTATCGCCGCTCCCCTACCCCCCATCCGGATTTTAGGTTCACTTATTGGGTCATCCGATAATCCCTGGTCCAACCACCGGTGCCGCCGGGTCTTACCTATTTTGCATAGCCAAATGGAAAAGCAAATAACTTAGGAACTGTAAGCCCAAATTACATGTGCAATACAGTATTTGAAAGCTAACATCTTCTAGTTTCTGAATATATAAATTAAAATTGGGCAAGCAGAACAAAAGTAGAACAACTAAGCGGCATCAGTTCAGACATG